TCTATGTGTGGCAAAGGAAAATTATCCTTCGGACTAGCTTTATTGAGATCTCTGTAGTCAACACACATTCGGACCTTACCATCTTTCTTTGATAAAGGGATAATATTTGTTACCCATTTAGGGTACTTAGCCACTTTAAGAAACCCATCATCGAATTGTTTTTTACTTCTTCTTTGACCTTGAGTAAAATCTTGGGTTTCATTCTTCTCAACTTTTGTTGTACTGGTCTACATTCTGGTCTTATTGGTAACTTATGTACTACAAATTTTGTGTCCAATCCTGGCATGTCCTCGTATGACCAAGCAAATACTTCTTTGTACCCTTGCAGTAATTTAATTAAATTATGTCGCCCTTTATTAGATAAAGTGGTGCCAATTTTCACCTCTTTTTTATCCATATTAGTCCCTAAATTTAAGATCTCAATAGGTTCCTTATGAGGTAGATTTTGCTTATCCTCCTTTTCCACCATATTTAGCAGCTCAGAAGGTAAATCACACTCTTCACCATTATCATAACCCTCGACTTCCTCAGGACATATAGGCTGCTCGAAATCAATTTTCGGGTCAGTATCATCAACATCTATGTCATTGATATTTGAGTTCCTGAAAGAAAATAAACAAGAGTATATATATATATATATATATATATATATATATATATATATATAATAATAATAATAATAATAATAATAATAATAATAATAATAATGCACTTAAAAATGATTGCCATTTGGAACTAATGCATCTTTTATTGAAAAAGAAAAACACATAGTTTAACCCTTTACACAAAATCAAACTATTGCCCCAGGGTATAAGCAACAGTGAAGTTTTGGTGTATTACTCTGAAAAAGACTTGAAAACTACAGGTAATTCTTCCGTAGTCCAATTATTTAACTCAAAGTCTGCTGATGCGGGGTAAATGGCCATAGCTTTCTTTTCTACAAATTCATCATCTGATATGACATTGATACTTATTTCCTTCAAATCATGTTCAACAATCAGCCCTTTGTTTTGTTGGTTTTCTTGGAAAACATATCCTACAGATACAAAAGTATCACTCAATGATGGAAAAATTATTGGTTCCCATGTGAGATCTTCTCCAATTAACTTTGCCTTTCTCAATTCTTGACTTTTTCTAATGCTCCTCTATTTCTCTTTTATGGTCGGCTGATAACCAAATTGATCTTTCTTGGAGATAAAAAGAACTGGATTAACTGGTCCTTGCAAATAACTTCCTAATCCTTTTCTAGATTTTTCTCATTTTCCTAGAGTTAATTTGAGTCCCATTTAATACAGTTCGAAATTTTAGGTTTAGGCATCCTTTTTCCCTCGGCTACAAATGTGGCATTGACAAATTCCAATGATCTAAAAGAACACTCAATAGCTTCTTCATCCAATTCAATATATGGGGTAGTGGTAGAGACTGAAGCAATGATGTCTTCTTCAGCATTAAGACATATCAGCCTACCATCTATTACAAATTTTACCTTTTGGTGTAACGTGGATGGAACCTGCTTGGTGAATCCAGGATCTTCCCAGTAAACAATTATAAGTGGGTATAATATCCATTACAAGGAATTCTATCTCATATGTAGTTGGACCAAAAGTTAAAAGAATGTCAATTTTTCCCAATACCTCTTTCTTGGTTCCATCAAAAGCTCGGATAATACTTTGACTATTTCTAATGAGTGTGCTGTCAATTGGTAATTTCTTCAAAGTCACTAATGGCATTACGTTCAAAGTTGAGCCATTATCTACTAATACTCGAGATAAAATATGTCTTTTGCATTTAACCGTGATGTGCAGAGCTTTAGGGCTACCATTCATCTCATAAGGAATTTCATCTTCAGAAAAAGAAAGGAAATTGTCAGTCTGTATGTTTGCAATCAACCTATCCAATTTGTTAACAGCCAATTCTTTTGGAACAAAAGTTTGATTTAATACTTTTAGTAAAGCATTTCGATATGCTTCAGAGCTTAATAAAAGTGCTAAGACTGATATATGAGCTGGTAATTTGTGCAACTGTTCAACAATATTGTATTCATTGTGTTTGAGAAACTTCAGGAATTCTACAGCTTTATTTTCAGTTACAGGTTCGTTAATGACATATTCATCTTCTCCCAATTGTAATTCGATCTTCTTCCCTTTATCAACTGTAGCTTGCTTCTCAGGTTCCTTTGAATAACACATTCCACTTCTAGTAAAATGTCCAACTTCATCTACTTCTTCATTTGCATTTCCTCCTATTTTGCAGTCATATTTCCATGGTACTTGCTTGTCATCTTTATAAGGGAACGAGGATAAAGAAATGATGACCACCTTTGGAGATATTTTATCTGATACACGAGTCCTTAGACTGATAATTAGAGATAATTAGAGTTGTAGACTTCTCTAGATAATCCTTCAGAGGCACAAATATCCATTTCTGCTTCTGGTATTTCCTTGAAAAAATCCATCTCCTTTTCATTCATCATATTTTGTACCAAAGCCCGAAAATCTGGACATTGTTGTATAACATGTCCTTCACAACAATGATAATGGCATACATTTCCACAGTTTAATCGTTCTGCTGGCATATTGGATTTCAACAAACCAACTTTGATCATTTGAGCTCACACCCAAAACATAGCTAATTTTACTTCACTGACTCGCCTTATCACTTGCTTTCCTTTTTCCTTTATAACTGCATTGATTCCTGCTCCTACGTGGTTTGGCAACGGGTTTTGAGCTACATTCGATTGTTCATTATCACCAAAATTTATGATATTCTTTGTTCTCAGGCTTTGAACGATTCTTTTGAATATGATGCAGTTTTCAATAGAATATCTGCAAGCCCCTGCATGATATTCTCATTGCAAGTTATCATTGTACCACTTAGGATATGGAGGTTGTATAGGTGATACATGATAGGGTGATATTATATGTTTGCCATATAATATATGGTATAACTCTTTGTATGTCATTGGAATTGGGTCAAACTGAGGTCTCTCTCTTTCCATCCTTGGTTCCCTTGTCCCTTTTTGGTAGAGTTTTGTGCAGAGGATCCAACGTCTTGAGGTCGAGACACCGTAATATTATTGGATTCATATTTTCTTGTGTCATTTACCTCGCTTTCTTTCTTTTTCATTAATGGCTTCTTACTAGATTCCCCACTTTCAAGTTTTCCACTCTTAACTGCCATTTCAATCACCTCACTTGTTATGACTAAGTCAGCAAAGCTCTTAAAAGAATTCCCTATAAGGTGAGTAAAGAAAGGAGCTTTTAACGTATTCACAAAGAGCATATTTGTTTCCTCTTCTTCCATGGGTGTATGTACCTGCATAGCTATGTCCCTCCATCTCTGGGCATAATGCCTGAAACTTTCATTGAATTTCTTTTCCATGTTCTGCAACATAATTTGATTAGGTCTTATATCCTTCACATGCTTATATTATTCCATAAAATATTTATCTAAATCTTTCCAAGATTCAATATGAGCTCTACTTAATTAGTTGTACCATCAGATGGCCGAACCTGTCAAACTTTCTTGGAAACAATGAATCAATAATTGATCATTTCCTATATAAGCTGTCATTTTCCTGCAAAACATTATGATATGGGTAGAAGGACATTTCATGCCATCAAAATTTTCAAAATATGGGATCTTGAACTTGGGTGGTAATACCAAATCAGGTACTAAACTCAATTCTTTGGCCTCAATTCCATATGCACTGGATCCCTCTTCATGACCCCTAACTTCTTCTATTAATTTTTCCAATTGTTTGTTTGATTCTTTCTTTTCTTCTTGATCAAAATCTGGAATATTTTCAACTTGTTCCTGGTTTATATAAGCACTAGGTAAGTTTATGCTTACTCTTCCTGACTGGGCTTTAGCATGAGATGTTGCAAGGTCTGCGGGGTACAACGGTTCTTCAGTTACTTTATCTTTTCGACGATATGCTCTTGGTGTAAAGCATGGAGGGTATAAAGGTTCTTCAGTGAAAGTACCCACAGTTGGGGTATTTATTTGATCCACACTTCTCCTTTGTAACATACTTGCAAATATTTCCATCATATCATTTAGAGATTTTATCAATTGTTCATGCATTTCTTCCTAAGCTTTCTTAAAATTCTCTTGCATCTCAAGATGATTCTTTTCAATTTGAGCAATTTTATCGTCCATTACCTTTTTTCTGGTATTGTATGGATGCTTAGAGGTGTCCAGTATTCTTCGAAAAAGAAAAAAACCCTTTTAATGAATATGAATGCTTATTTAATAAGTATGAAAAATATAATGTCAAATGCTAAAAATATTTATGTGCAATATGTAAAATGCAAGGTGTTGATATTGAGATGATTCCTTTAGAACATCTTTTATATTAAAACAAAGTTTCATTACAAAGCTTTAAAACATAGTACAGATACAACATCACAGATATATCTGAGCAACTTCACCTAATTGTTGTATATGCTCAAGTAACTCAAAGACCTTATGAGCTTCTTCAGTTTCTGGCTCTAATTCTTCACTCAAAGTGGTAGCCTCATAGGCCAAGTCCACAGATATTGTGCCACTCCCTGAGCTTGCTCCAAATACTTTGCAATAAGATCATCTCTTTGCTTGACTTTCCATTGGGCACATTCCCAACGATAGCGCCATTGCAAAATTCCTTCATAAGGGACAATAGGGAGTTGATTCACCTTTCTCTAAAGATCCTGAACCTTAGCCTCCAGTTCATTTACTTGTTTTCTTAGGTTTCTAACTTCCGAATTACTTTGCAATGCAGTCTCCAACTTTACAATCTTGCCTTTTAGTTTCTGGTTTTGGGCTTGATTTTCCAACAACCGTTGCTCTAATGCCTCATTTTCTTTGGAAAGTATCTTGGCATGGTGTTTGATTTGTTTGAGCTCCTCTTCATCTTTTCTTTTCAAACCCATTGATGCTTGTTTACTTGATCCTTCAGCAATTTCAGTCTTTACCATCTACTGATAAGATGACTGGAGATCGCCAAAGTCTACCCTGAGCTATTTTTCAACCTTGCTAACTTGATCTGCTCGTCCTTTATGGGTGTCTATTTCGATTTCTTTATGGTACGATTCCTCTTCCAGCTTTTGCAGTGTTATTTTTAATTGCTTTCTTTCAATCTCAAAGTCTTGCTTTGATAATTCTAATGAAGATGGTATAATTCTCAAATGTTCTTTGATAGGTTGAACATTCTCGAAATTAACCATTGGAATGTTGTCGTTAACTCGGCTAACTCTCCATTGCTCGTATTCTTGTGAAAGCTTTTGACTAAAAGTGAATAAATTTACTCGATGAATCCATTTCCAAACCTCATCAACCTTTCTGATCTTTTCCTTGTACTGATCACTTCTAAATGCAAACTCTGATTTAGATAAACCCGATGTCCCAGGAATAAATTGTCTTGATTCATATTGTCTGGAAACCATCAGATGTGCATATCCTACAGAACCCCAAATGTCAGGCAAAGGAACCCAATCATGCTATCCACACTTATATAGTATATTTGAAGAAGTATTCCATGAGGCTCGCCATAACATGTCATTGTCTTTAAGAATTTGAAAGATGTTCATCCTTTTTTCTTCATCGTAACCTCCGGTCCATTTTCGAGAAAGGAAATCTTGTAGAGTTGAAAAATCTTCCAAAACTACTCGACCAGGTGTTCTTTCCTCGTGCTTAAAATGATTCAGAATCCATACCAACAACACAGGTGCACAACCTATAAAACGTCCCTCTCCTTCATGTCTGCAGGAATTCAAGGAATGAAATGTTTCGGCTAATATAGCAGGAGCCGGATATGCATTCTTGTTCAATCTTTCAAACAGGTCTACAGTCGATATATCTACATGCCTCAGGATCTTTGGAAAAATGTCTAATCCATATATACCTAAAGCCAACATATCAATCATCTTTCTTTTTTCTGGATGGCGGTAGATCACTTCTTTCAAAGAAGTCCAAGTGATACATTCACTATCACCCTTCTTTTTTATGTCTCTTGTAGCCCACTCTCTACTCATTCCGGTTAATAAGAGCACTTTTTTCTTAAAAGAAGCAGTATTAGGTGGTTTGATATATACCCTGTCTTCATATGATCTCGGACAGCAAATAAGAGCTCGATACTCTTCTATAGTATATGTCAAATCTACTTTGCCAAAGGTGAAACAACTGTAGGCAGGGTTCTAAAATTGTACTAAAGCTCTGAACAAATGTCGGTCAATAGGGATGTCTAAAAGATAGGTAATGTCACCATATAGTTGGTATAATAGTTGTTTGTCAGTCATTTCCCACTTTCCCTATTTCTTTCAATTCACCCAGATTTTTTGGAGTACATTGATATGTGTATATCTGATCAAGTCTAACATGTACCTGATGATAAGCTATTTCCTTTGATAAGTTGAGATTGCTAGACCATCTTAAAACAACTGTGTTGTCTTCTACTTCATGTTGGACTCTTTGTTCCATTTTTCCAGCTTTCTATATGAAATCAGTCATGAATCAACACCATGATATGAAAATGCAGAATGAAATGAAGCATTAAATTAATCAAGAATAATGAATAAATCCTAACTTCATGCCATCTAGTTTCATGATTTATTTAGAACAACAAACCTAACCACATGATTTCTAGTTCACATGCATTTATTTAAAAAATAATACTAAATAAATTAAAAGATTTAACATGTTTTTCCTTGTGTGCTAACCTTACGAGATTTATTTGGGGTTAGGTTCTGACTAGACTCAAGTTCTAAGTTTACTATATATTTGGTTTTGGCTCTAAGGTAAAAGGGTCGATGAATTGTCCTTTGTTGGTGTCTCTTTGGACTACCAATCCCTCAATTCGGGTCCATTACAGACTTTCAGATTAAGTTCAATTCGAAGGAACACACTTCCTTATGTCCATACAGAGGTGAAAACCCCACGAGGAACATAAGGTTTGAGCTCAAGGAATGGTCCCTTATCCCATACAGAGGTGAAAACCACAAGAGGGAGTAGTTTATCATTCGAACTAGATAGGATAAGTGCGGGGTTTTAGCTCATGTCATGAATGCAGTGCACATTGGGTGAGGAAAAGCATAAAAAGAAATAAAATAAATAATGTACACCCTACTATTTTATTCTAAATACCCAAAATTAAATCTGTACACATAAAAAAAAACTAAAGTTAGTATTATTAATAAAATAATTAAGGGATAAAAAAACAAATTTAAAATTTAATTGCAAAGACAATTATTAATAAACTGGTGGCTTGACTCTCTTTTAAAAACTCCCCAGCAGAGTCGCCAAGTTGTAGAGACGTTTCTCTGGCAGGTGACGAAGAGTGCAAATAGTACACCTAAGTGTAACTAGTCTCGAAAAAGTGAGTGTTTATCTTCCTTGAATCAGATGAAAAACTAAGTTGTAGAGTCGCTACCAATCTTTTAATGTGGTGAGATTGGTCACCAAAATGTTATATTATTCTAATAAAATTCCTAAGAATAATATTTAAATAATACAACACGGGGTCTGCTTACCAAAAAAATGAGTTCGGGAGTCAGTTACGTATGGGGAAGGATTAACACCCCTACAATGCCCAAAAATTGTACCAGTGTTTATTAATTAATTTGTCTTTACAATAAATTAGTAAATTTGTATTTACTTTTAATTTACAAATAATTTAAAATATATAACTACATAATAATATTTAAGAGAAATATTGAAAATCCTATTATAATATTGAATATTATAATCACATAAATTAAATTATAAATTATGTATGTTAATAACTAAAATATAAATACTAATAGTAATTAATCCTATAATAATAATTAATGATTAAAATATTAATATTAATCACCATAATTCGAAATAATATTAAAATAGTGTACTAATAATGTATTTTACCCTAAATTATTATATAGCTCGAAATGTAAATTATTAAAGATATTAAGGACTAAATATGATATTTATCCTAAAGTATATATATATGCAGTAGTGATCAAAACATAAATCAAATTAAAAGACAAAATTAAAATGCATAAAACATGCTTTCAGTGACTAAATTGAATGATTTCAAAATTACAGGATCACGGGTACAATTTTCCCTATCCAGAATTACACACATGCCCCTCCTCAAAACGACGTTATTCGGGGAGAGGTATAAATAGGCCTCATTATGCCTGAAGAGGCTTAAAGCCTCATTTCCCTCATTTGTTTCTCTCTTTAGAGAGAGAAGCTCTCGTATCTCTCTAGAATTCCCTCACTAGAGGGAATTCGTCCCCGGTCGGCAGCCGTATGCCGTCGTTAACCACTGCTGCCGGCCACCACCCACGGTGGCCAAAAAGTACCAAACTATCCTAAAATGTTTCTCTCTTCCCCTAAAGCCTAAATAAAAAGTTATTTACCCTAAAAAGCCCTAATCGAAGAAAATATGAGATTTATACATTCGGTGTTTCATCTTCTCCAGTGGCGCGTGGAGGCGCGTAGTAGCTTCTGACAACGGTAAGGCTTCCTTTACTCTCTTCTCAATATTTGGTTGGTTTGGTTGTTGTGTACTTGGTGTTTGTTCTTCATTTCTTGTTTTTTTTTCTTCTTCATAGGTTGGTCCCTATTTATAGGGTTCTTTGAGTCATTCTTTGGACTGGTTAAAAGACTGAACTCCGGTGAGTCACCGGAGCTACGGTGGTGACTCACCCTAGGTGTTGTGAGATGTGCGGTGGAGGGACTGGGTGCATTAAATGCACCCAGATCTCGCGGATCCAGCGAGGACGTGGCAGCTGCTGGTTAGAGGCGACGGTGACGAGGTCATCATCACTTCTATGGCGGCGGTCGGAATAGCCCTAAGGTGTAATGAGAATCTTAGGGTTCCTGTTGGTTACACTTGGGATCGTTCGATCTCTCCAGATCAAACATTGGAGATCTGTGCGGCGCTGGAGATGCAAGTGGGAAACCCTAGTAGCATTCGGGCTTGTTGGGCTGCACGGTTTAAATTTGGGCCTGAATCGGGTTTGGTTGTAATATGGGTTCAGGGTTTGTTTTGTAACTGGGCCTTCGGGTCAATTTTGAGCCTGGACGAAAACAACTGTCAACAAAGATAAATTATGTATTTAATTATTCTTGTTGTCCGTTTTGAATACTCAATATTTTTAAATCATACTTAAATTATGTTATGATCATCTTCGTTAAAAAATAAATAAAACCGTTGATATTATAATTTTTTTTATATGACATTTATTATAATAATACGTCAGTATTACCATTAATTTTTTAATAATGGGTGATCAAATATAACTTTAGATATAGTTGAAAAAAATAGTTGATTCACTCAACAAAATTATAAGAATAATAGAATAATTGGATACATAGTTTATCCATATATTTATGGGTAAATTACACGCTTACTCACTGAACTTTACTTTCTCTCCTATTTCACTCACTGTACTTTCAATTTTTAAAATTTGCTCACTCAAGTTTTTTGGTCACTCGACCGTTAAATTTCTAATACGATAAATTAAAATTCAAAAAAAATAAAAGTACAATGAGTGAAATAAGAGAGATGATAAAGTTCAGTGAGTAAACGTGGTATATTTTATTATTAAAATAAGCCACATAAGCACCCCGTTACTGAGTAAACAATCAAGTGACAAAAAAAGTTCAATGTCTAAAGTTCAGTAAGTAAATTGAAAAAATTAAAAGTACGGTGAGTAAAATATGAGAGAGTAAAGTTCAGTGAATAAGCATGGTATATTTTATTATTAAAATAAGCCACATAAGCACCCCGTTACTGAGTAAACAATCAAGTGACCAAAAAAGTTAAATGTCTAAAGTTCAGTGAGTAAATTGAAAAAATTAAAAGTACGGTGAGTAAAAAATGAGAGAGTAAAGTTCAGTGAATAAGCGTACAATTTATCCTAAATTTATACATGAATAAATAATATAGCAAAGTACAAACCAATTAGTTGCATTTATATATATCTGCATCCCTACGTAACCAATTATGTTTGCACACGCAGGGATGTTTATATATATATATAGGAAAATATGTATCGAAATGTACCACTAATTTTGAAGGTAAAATTTTTAAATGGTTATTAAATTATATTAAAATATTCATTTTGAACATTTAACTTTTAAAAGTTATATAATATGTCATTCAATCAGTCCCTCAACTGTATTACAAAATAAATATCACATCTTTAGTTATCGTTAAAGGGATAACTTAACATGTTAAATTAATTAAAAAAATATCTCATTCAACCCTCAATTATAAACTAAATTTCATTTTTGATATTTTTCAATATTTTGAGATAATAATTCTAAAAAATCAATTATATATATATTCATTTTTAAAATCATAAAACTATTTTTTAAAAATTACAACTTTGTAATTAATCTTTTAATTCATAAAATTTAGAATTATTATTTTAAAAATTATGATTATATTTGAAAATTTATAATTTTTGAAATCCAATAACTTTAGTTATAAAAATGAAACCATTTTTTATTAAACAATGTGATTCAATTCTTTAACTTTTTTTAATAGTGTTAAATATAACTTTAAAAAAATATTTATAATTTCAAAAATAAATTTTAATAATCCATATATTTAAAAAATTCTATTTTTTGAATTATTACTTAAAATTGTTAAAAAAAAACTCAAAAACAAAATTTTAGTCACAATTGATGGAGTAAATAAGTTTTTTTATTAATTGAATATGTCACATTTGCCCTTAACGAGAGTCAATGTCAATATTCTTTTTAATGGAATCTAAAATTTAATATTTATTTTATAATTTTTAAAAAGTTGAATGATAAAAAATAAATTTTATAATAATTTAATGACTATTTATAAATTTATACCGGTACGTGCATTGTACACTTATCATATATATATATATATATATATATCCCCGGTCATTATTTCCGTCAACTACAGGTTAACCCCGGAGCATAAATATCCATGTCAATACGACAAAAGATTCGTCGTCGTGAAGTTCATCGACGATAATGCGAATACCGACTTCGGAAATATAAACCTCCCCCCGAACGCAAACTTAAACCAATGTTTCATCACTGGGGACAGTGCCGGTGGCAACGTGGCGGGGAAACGTGGCGGTGAAAGCGTGCGAGTTCAAGTTGAGGAACGTGGGGTTGATACGGTTGATGGAAATACAACCGTTCTTTGGTGGGGAAGAAAGAACGGATTCAGAGACAAGATTTGCCGACGGGCTAGTGTTGACAGTGAAAGGATCGGACCAGTTGTGGAAGATGTTTTTGCCTGAAGGATCGGACCGGGACCATCCGGCTTGCAATGTGGTGGTCGGAGGAGTTGATCCGTTGAATGATTGGCAAATAAGGTACTACGAGGGGTTGAAGAAATGTGGGAAAGAAGAGTATCCCAATGCTTTTCAGTCTTTCTATGGTGTCCCTGAATTGGAAGACTCCGCTTTGGTAATGGAGGACCTAAAAAATTTCGTATGGAAATC